GAGGCTATTGAAATTAAAAAACATCCTAATTTCAATAGAGAAGGAGGCTGGGTACTACCACCTGCTTGGGATCCTATAATCAATAAAATTAAAACTAAACCCAAGCATACCACTGCAAGACCTCAGGACATAGTCAGTTCATTTTGCATAGATCGAACCATAAACAATAATTAAAAAAACTGAAGGTACTCCGGGTTTAAGAATGACATCGGGACGTCAGTCATCTCAGTCACCCGTGACCATGGGTGCTGAAAAGCGCCCGAAACGTCGGGAATCAAAAAATAAAAGTAAATAAAAAGTAAAAATAAACGCGATAAAATCCGTAAAAGTAGTTTTAATCATGTATAGTGTTCGCGTAAATGTAAGAAATCATTAAATATAAGAAATCATTAACTTCATGTACTTGTACTCATAAACAGCTAACTTCGCAGATACTACTTACCGACGTCAGTTCAGGTACAGGCTGGCTATGCTTTAGCACGTAGCGATCGTTCTCCTTCTCTCTAACCTCCATGGCTGTAACAGTTAATGCTAGTTTTTTTTTATAGAATAGGGTGACAAACGAGCACACAGTCCACCTGATGGTAAGTGGTTGCTGCGGCCCATAGACATCTATATGTATCCTCGATTACAAAACCAAATGCAGTTGTGTTGTCACCCGTGAGGACTAAGATGGAATGCCTCGTTTCCAGTAAAAAGCATCTCCGGTTTTCTACACTCACCATACGAAATACAGCAGCATTAAGCTACTATTTCACGCTGGTAATCTGTGAGAGCGTGGTCCTTCCCCGGTTGAGCCGACCCATTCGTGCTACAACTATACAATTAATATAGCTGCAGCATGGCTCTACCACGTATAAAATGTGGTGTGCTAGTGGCTCAGGACTGTACATTGTGGCAAGATTCCCATGCCATGCCCATAGATGGGAGGGGCCTATGTTCAGCAGTGGACTTGTGGACATATTGTGTAACAATAACCAATCGTATAAACGTTTTTTAAAGACAGTCTATAGATTCGATCAGAGAATAAATGGACGGTGACGGATCCGGTGTGCTTAAATAAACTTTTTCTTATAGAATAAGGGTCACCAACGAGCATACAGTCCACTCGTTGGTAAGGAGATGCTGCGGCTAACCGTGGGGTTTCCATGCAACCGTGCAACATGACACCTCGCTTATATCGTCCACGTGGGCGTCCACTGCTAGTTTCTCTTGGTTCTCATCGGACGACTAGGGTTATACGCAGTTTGCGCGTCGAGCTGACTGTTGACTTATCTCTTTGATATCTCATAAAATATGCGTTCAAATAACATACTGTTACGAGCTTAGGACTTTAGACACTAGATGGCGCTAGTGCCAGGTACCAGACGTCAACTTAGGCGCCCAACAATACTATAAAGAGCAAACTTTATTTTCATAAAATCATCTTGATGATGAAGTAACTTTTCGTTCGTAAGTATTAATATGCCATGCCTTATAATAACTTTTATAAATCACTGTTTAATTTTAATATTTTTTTGTCATAGAATACCTTATTGTGGCTTATATTATATAAGAAATAGGTATATATGGTATCGCGTACTTTTTTAGATGGAGTAAAGATCAATATTTTCACGTCAGTGCACGCTGATGAAGCAGTTTGGGGGCGCTTTTTGTTCCATCTTGTTTGACAAAATTCAATATTTAAAGCTAGCTGAGAGGTGCAGCCTATGCTATTCCTTATGAATCTAGGTTTGTTAGTTCCCGAAAATACCGTGTTAAAAAATCTTGATATATTATATTAAGTATAGATTAAGAACCAAAATAAAGATGCGATGCTACGTCTGAGGACTGAGATGGAACCTCGTTTCGAGTAAAATGGGTCTCCGGTTCTCTACACTCACCATACGAAACACAGCAGCATGAAGCTGCTATTTTTTACGCTAGTATTCTGTGAGAGCGTAGTTCTACCCCGTTCGAGCCGATCCATTCCTGTTACAAACATAATATAGTCGCAGCGTGGCTCTACAACGACAAATTATTTTTTCATGATTAACCGTTTTTCAGGCGTGTCTGAAGCTGGCGTACAAGTCGACGGAAACAAAGAGTTGTCCGTGCTGCCGGCAAAGCCTGGCCAAGTTCGAACCTAAGGTGAACGAATCGCTGCGTACTGCTCTGCGGTCCGTTATGCCTGGCTACGACGCGGGCAAGAAGTAGCCCACACTTACACATTTCTTTTGGGGACGTGGGAGGGGTGCGTGCATCATGTGAGGATCCATATCATTTTAAAACTTACCGCTTGTGAAACGATATTGTTTATCTTAATGTTTTGATGTTGCGTCGGGATGCATTTTCGACAGTGCGTTGGGGTATCTTATATTCACAGTATCTAAATAATTGATGTGTACAATAAGGAGCAGATTTAGTTTTCATTTCAATTCTTTGTATAAACCTGAAGCGGACTGTATAATATTTAATAACCCAAAAAACTAATTGACTATGGACTGTAAATGACTGTGAAAACCTGATTGTATGCTAAACTAAGATTGACTGGAAAAACTACTTGAGAGAGAAGCTAACTATTAGAATGTATTTCATGTTTACAATAGCGGCACAAATAACTGATTATAAACTATGTATTAAAGCATGGAGATTTTTCTTTTTCTTTTCTTGATGACTGTTGGAGCTCTTCCAGGTACGTTTGCCCACGCTAGCTCGGAGCGCGGTGATTGGCTGCAACGATAGCATGGTGTCGTTGCGTGCAAGGCGTGCGGGGGCGACCTCGCCGTCCGTAACAAAACCACTATTGGCCTTAAGGCTTATTGGTCACTCAAATAAGTATTAGTTATCTTTATACCTGTCTTGCTCTATTACCATTTAGTAAAGTGAGAGAGAGAGAGAGCTACTTTTAGTAATTCTTGAATTGACGTCGACCTTATGAATAAAGTCTTTGAGCAATTTTTACAATACTCTATCTTGAGAATTTTCTCTAGTTCCTCGGAATCAAGGATAATAAGAAACAGCGAGTGACAGTAGAGCGGTTGATAGTAAACCCTTAAAATAGCACTGGTAAAGAAGAACTTAAGGACGCGTTTGCAAATCAAGTAAAATTAGGGTGTTTTTCGGTAGATTTGTGACAAAACTAAACCAAATCGAATATAAATGAAAACTACCATGTATAGATTGGTTCTTCATCTGCAAATGTATGTAACTCTTTTGTAGAAAATAATGGTTTTTTATATTGTAAAAACGAACTTCCGTAACCATTTTCTACAAAATTAACGATACCGGCTCTAGTTTCGGTACATTTTTGGTCTATTATCGACATTTTAAAAATTTTAAAAATACTATAATTAGACAGACATATTCAATTAAAAACTGATGCACATTTTTACACATATTTTGCTAATACGGATTAATCATAAACTATTGCAATAAGGGCTATTTTATTTTTGGCGCCTGTTTTGATTTATTGTACAAAGATTTCGATGAAACCACAGTCCGCGCTCGGCCGCCGTCATGAGTAGACAATGTATCGCCTGTTTGCAGCGGCTCTTTCTAAAAAGATCGCTGAACATACTCGAAATATTAGAAAAAAACAAAATGGAAACATAAGTACATAGTAAGTACTTGACCACAACTCCAGCAACCCAAACTCGGCACACCTAGTTCTACTAGTCTAGGAGTTCCAGTTGTAATCACCGAATTACACCTTCAGGTCACTCCATCAAGTTCGGTTGTAAGTTCTCATTATAACTAACAAAACGAACCCAAACTCGGCACACCTAGTTCTACTAGTCTAGGAGTTCCAGTTGTAATCACCGAATTACACCTTCAGGTCACTCCATCAAGTCCGGTTGTAAGTTCTCATTATAACTAACAAAACGAACCCAAACTCGGCACACCTAGTTCTACTAGTCTAGGAGTTCCAGTTGTAATCACCGAATTACACCTTCAGGTCACTCCATCAAGTCCGGTGGTAAGTTCTCATCATAACTAACAAAACGAACCCAAACTCGGCACACCTAGTTCTACTAGTCTAGGAGTTCCGGTTGTAATCACCGAATTACACCTTCAGGTCACTCCATCAAGTCCGGTGGTAAGGTCTCATCATAACTGGGTTGTTCTTCTTTTTAACCGACATAGTGAAAAAAAAATTGCCACGAATTTCTTAAAAAAATTATATCGGTTTCTCGTTGACACTTATACATTTTATGATGGCTGAATTAATAGTCTATCGAAAAATAGTAGTGGCCGCGAAGTTTATAATTTTTTTAAACATTTAGTGGCCCCGAAATGTTGGTTTGACGTAAATTTGTACACCTCTGTCACAAAATCTTTTATTTAATATCATTGAATAATTTGATACAAATGACTTGCACTTTTTGTGTCAAAAATAAACAAATGGCTCTTTAGAATAATATATAAAAATGTTGCGCATATTGATTGGGTTATATGTAAATTAATGAACATTAACCACTCTGTCACATTTTTAGATAAAATTATGGATATTTTGATATAAATTAAGATTCACTATTACTTGCAAAGAAATATCAACGTCATAGCCGAAAAAATCATTCGTTATGATCAATTTAATTTTTCTAAAGTTGTGTACTATGCAAGAGAAAGTATATAATAAGTCAAAACAATTTTACTTCCGGGAGACAAAAACGTGACAGAGTGGTGGTGTGTGTGACAGAGTTGTAATTTTATGAAATATCAGACTGTGTTTTGGAATAAAACAAATAATTAAAACTTTGAAATATTTATTGACTGATAAGATTTTAACAGTATTCATATTTGGCAAAAAAATATCTATTCGTAACTAATGAAATCACATTTCAGAATCTTTGGAATGGAAGATTCAAATTTTAGGAAATTAAAAAACTATTAATTTGTCTCAACTAAATAAAAATCTTAAAAAGCACTTGTGCAACTTGTCACAACCAAATAAAAATTTAAAAACTTAAAATAAAATAATCATCATTAATAATTACTGTCTATTAGGTCTCTAATCAGCCTTATTTCTCGAATACTGGCAGTGGCTTTTCGAACTCCAAAAATTGTCTTCTTCCTTTTCTAACAACCCTAGGAGTAGGTAAGATTTCAATCAAATCATCAAATGGAACATCCGATAAGTCATTCTCCACCAATCTAAATAGTCTTCCACTATCATCGATGGTTTTAAGGAACATTACCAGAACATCACCTTCTTCGTCGACGGTACTTTTAACAACTCCAGCGTAAGTGTATAGAACATTCCTCTCGCTTCGTACTTTAACTAAAACGTAAACTCCGTCTTCTATTTTATTTGGATGAATGTCCTGAGGCTGCAGTGTTTGGTATGAAGTACCGGATACCACGGGTGGATTGATAGAATCCTTAGATATATATGTGACCAGTGGCTGATCTTCATCAGATGATTCACTCGGGCTATAATACACGATATCGTAAAATCTTTTACTAGGCATCCCAATTTTATTCGTAATATCAGCAAGAGAAAATCTTCTGTTCAAAGATTAGGTTCATCTTCTTCGTAAGAAGACTTCTGATTCGCTATATCTTCAGTGTCGGGTAGTGTAGGCTGATAAGTTTTAGGACCGTGACAGGAACAGAACCGTTCACAAAAACAACTTAGTATCCTATAGTTTAATATTCCACGAGTTTCTGTAAAACTTTTGCATAGTTCCTTTCAGGGGTATAATTTTACTGGGAATAGTTTTTGCAACGTTTTCAATGTCTTCGTCTGTCACCATAAACAACTTAATTTTGCTGACATCTTGAAGTGTAGAAAAAAATTCATATGCGTCTGCAATATCTGCCCCTCTAGCTACTATAGCATCAGCTTGGCGTTTTAAGGTTCCACCAACTCCATCGGCAGCTCCTTTCCCATGACCTGACTCAAAAAAGTTCCAAGATATTTTACGAAACTCGTAATTTTCGAAAAACCTATTTGCCATTAGGTAGAAATTAATCTTCTCCTTATACTGGGTCGCAGATCCATCAGAAAAAAAGTGAACCGTTGTTACAACAGGATGTTTATTTTTTACTTCAGAAAGAATTGGGCGCAGGTGAGCCCAGATCGCAGAAGGTCCATGGTTCTGATTAGAAGACACTGTACAGTATGAAGTTACTTCTATTCATTGTGTTTCAGTAGAATAATTGTACATCACGGCTGTATGGAGGGTAACTTGATTACGAGAACCAAAATGGTGAAACTTGAACTTCAGAATGGTACTTACAGGCATAGTTCTCACTAAAATCTATATGTAAAGCTACTTCAGTTCCAGTAAGACCATCGATACACTGTCGGTATGCTTTGTATTGATGTCGGATGTTGTAGACATGAGTTCTGAAATTCATGAGTTCATTTTCAAATTTTTAATAACTTCTTGAATAGTGTGATTTTCGGTAACAGGGACATTTTTTGAAATAACATACATAAACACTCACGCCTGTCACCCAGAGGGGTAGGCAGAGACTACAAATTTCCATTTGGCACGATCCTGACACACCTCTCTCGCCTCCTTCACATCCATACACCTACGCATACATGCTCGTCGGTTAAGGGTACTCCTAATTTGGCCCGTTTCCAATAAATCGCCAATTTGGTCGATAAATTTTCGCCTAGGACGTCGCTTTCCGACTCTGCCATTCACTTCTGCAACATAAATTTTCTTTGTCACTCTTTCCTCATTCATTCTTTCCACATGACCAAACCACCGAAGCGTTCCTTTCTTAATCCTGGTCACAACATCATCTTGCAAACCACACTCTTCTCTTATTACATAATTTCTTACCCTGTCATTCAGATTCAGCCTTAACATACTCCTTAACGACCGCATTTCTACTGCGTTTATTCTACTCTCGTGCTTCTTCTGCCACCCAACTTTCACTACCATACGTTAAAGTGGGAACCAACACAGCATTGTGAATTGTCATACGTGCCTTTTTCGACACATTTTGACTCTTCACAATAGAGTGCAAGGCCCCGTTTACTCTATTTCCCGCATTCACTCGTCGTTCTATATCCTTATCATATCTCCCATTCCTGCTAAATACGCAGCCCAAATATACAAACTCATCTACTTGCTCGATCAACTCCCCCTTCTATTCTTATTTCACAAATCGTTTTACTTTCTTCTCTTTCAAAAACCATAACCTTCGTCTTACTTGCGTTCACTTTCATACCCCTTTCTTTTAATGATCCATTCATTAATGTAACCATCATTTGCAACTCGGCCGCCGACGACGCAAGAATGACTTGATCATCGGCGTACAAAAGGCATTTGACGGTTAACTTACCCATTCTTAATCCGCATTCTTCAACTTTCAAATTTTGCAAACAACTGTCCATAAATAGGTTGAACAGCCACGGGGAAGCCACACAGCCCTGTCTGACACCTTTATGGATGTCAAACCAGTCCGAGTAGATCCCGTTGATCCTAACACAAGCACTAGAGTCCCTATAAAGAGATTCCAATGCCTGTATCAAGCCAGCGCTCAACCCAAATGAGTTCAGTGTTTACCATAGCAAATCCCTATCCACTCTGTCATAGGCCTTTTCCAAGTCCATGAACGCACAAAAAACCTTTTGGTTTTTGGCCAGAAACTTCTCCGCGATCATGCGCATGGAAAAGACTTGATCTGTACATCCCATTCCCTTTCTAAATCCCGCTTGCACATCCCAAATTTTTCCATCAGTTTCTTTCATGACCCTTTCAATCAGTACCTTAGCGTACAGTTTTCCCACAATGCTAAGGCTGATGCCACGGTAGTTTTTACAGTCCTGCTGCGACCCTTTTCCTTTATATACTGGGACTATCACGGCTTTGCACCAGTCTACCGGTACCCGCTTCAGTTCCCAGCATAAATTAAACAAGGTGTGCAGCAGGCCTGCCACCACCTCCTCTCCAGCCTTTAGCATTTCGAGTGAAACTCTATCATATCCGGGCGCCTTACCCGCTTTCATGCTTTTCATTGCTTTCATTATTTCATCTATACTTATCTCGCTACCTCTTTCCTCTTCTTTCGGAGTTTCTACTTCACTTAGTACACATGTTGTCTCCTCACTCATAAACACGCTTTCAAAATATTCCTTTCATCTCTTTAAACTCAAAACTTCATCATTCAGGATATAGCCATTCTCGTCTCTTATAGCATTCATCATAGGCTGTTTTGAATGTCCCCTGGCAGTTCTTACCAGTTTCCAGAACATTTTAATATTTGCCTGGAAGTTATCCGATATTCTTCTATCATTCTTATCCGTTCTTTCTTGCTTTTTTCTTTCAACTACTTCTTTTACTCTCTTATTAAGATGTCTAAAGACTGCCTTTTTTCTTACAATATCATCATTCGTACCGCTAGAATTACCAGCCTTTGTTGCTAGTAAATCTAGCCATGCTCTCTTCTTTGCTTCAACTTCCATACGTATCTCATCATCCCACCATAACGTATTATTTTTCCTTTCATTCTTTCTCTTACTAACACCACATACTTCGGTAGCTGCATGCACTAAACCTTTCTTTACATTTTGCCATACATTCTCCAAGTCTAACTCCTTCATACATAATTCATCCAAAGCACTTATATTTTCTTTCAGTCTACATTTGAACTTGTTTCTCTCACCTTCATCTTGCAACCTTTCTGTTCTAATACACTGTAACGCAGTGGTAGACACAGATGACCGATGGCGCCAACGCCTGAATAGACCATTAATTCGGCATAAAACCAAATAATGATCCGTTCCTACGTTAGAACCCCGGTAAACCCTTGTATCCACCACTGCGCCCCTCAATCTTTCATCCACAATTATGAAATCTATCATGCTTCTATCGTCACCTCTTTCCCAAGTATACATATGAATCCTCTTGTGGCGAAAGCAAGTGTTCGTCACAAAAAGATTCTTTTCCATACATACGGTGAGGAGACTTTCACCATTCTCATTTATACTTTCATCACCAAAGGTTCCCAATATCCTTTCATAACCAAGCCTCCTCACACCAACCCTTCCATTAAAATCTCCTAGCATAATAATATTTTCATTTCCCTTACACTTCATTAACACCATCCTTACCATTTCCCAAAACTGCTCTCGGATATAAGTGGGCTTAGACATGTCTGGGGCGTAGACCCCTAACACGAACAACTTCTTTAAGACCACTTTCATTCGTATCCATAGTAGTCTTGGGCTTACACATTCATACTCTTTCACACATTGGCCCATTCTTTCTGAAAGGATGATACCTACTCCCTGGCATGCCCGCTCGATCTCGTCTACACCAGACCAGTATGCGGTATACATGCCATGTGCAGTGACATCCTTCCCCTTCCTTTTCGTCTCATTTACACATAATACATCTATTCCTCTATCATACATCATATCGCATACTTCATCCATTTTATCATTCATTGCCCCACATACATTCAACGTAGCCAGACGGGCCTCTGCAATCCACTTTTCGCCTCTCCGGGAGACAGAACGTGACAGGTGGCGAACCTCGTCGTTTTTTTGAAATCTTTATCTTTTTTCCTCCCTTTTCTACAATTTCGCTTTTCCTTACCCACTGACGTAGTGGCACAATTCTTTCTCGGTTATTTTTTTCATAAACTATGCCCCGGGTCTTACACTTCGAACAAACACCTTTCATACAAGATTCCGAATCAACTGTACAAACTAGTATCCATCATAGTGTCTTTTTGCATAATATCTTTATTGTAATGTGGACTATTCACAACATAGCTTATATTTGCATTCAACTTACATAAGCAAGTATCCCTTCCATCCACAGCAGGTGCTTTCACAAAAAATGGTCTATGTTTGGCAAAGTAGCTGTAGTGACACTTAATGCCACTGTTTTCTTTTAAAAAAGCTTTGTACAAGTTTCGCATTGAGTCCAATAAAAATCTCTTCTGAACTTTTTGTTTTTCGTTACATCATCCCGCAAAAAGAACTGATGTATTTTTCGTACGAGATGAGTCTGTTTTGGTAGAACGGTCTTGTATTTTAGAGGGCGATCAACGCCCAAAGCATCTCTTACCAACTGCGTTTGCATTCTGGATTTTTTTTGTAATGGAAGTTTGAAGAATATTTTGTATGAGGCGTTTTTCTTTACGACTTTTGACAGTTTTATAGCGTTCTTTGATGGCATTAGAAAGGACTTTATATTTATTTTCATCGTTGCTATTATGTTCCACTTTGCTGTCTCTTTTTGATTTTCGTTGTAATCTTTTTTATATTTACGAATTCTTTTCTCCAGCTGTTCTATTTTTTTCTTGTAATTTAATATTATCTTTGTACATCTTTGATCTATCTCTTTTCACTTTCTTTCTTCCCCTTGCACTAGACGCTTCCGATAGAGTGGGTGTCGCAGAATGGGGTCTTATTTGTGGGTTTTCCGGTATCGGCGACAGAGCCGGCGTGTCCAACAGTACATTTTCAAGCATCTGTTTCTTCTCTCTTCTTTTTATATTTGCCTGTTGCCATTTTCGCTTCATAATTCGATGTTCTCTCACGTTCATATCTGCCAGCAACTTTTTTCGAGCGTGGTACCTTTCTAAATCCTTGCGTTTTACTTCTGCTACCTTTTCTGGTTCACTTTTTCGTTTCTTCCGACAACGTCGCTGTCTTTCTGCTGCTGATAATGGCTTTTTTGTCTTCATGCTAAAAATAAAAAGATAGAATATAATTTCCTATCCCTATTTAACGCTGACACACACTCAAAATCCAAATAAAATACATTCAAATTAAAAAAAATAACCGAAAATATTTTTTATTACCACTCCATCACATATTTTACCACTCCGTCACAAAAGTTATGTGACAGAGTTGTCATGTGACAGAGGGGTAAAATTTCGTTGCACACTCGATAATATCTTAATATTAACATAAAATGTATGATGAACATGTTCGCATGAAAGTATTTTTCAATGCGTAAGTGTGGATAATGTAAAATAATTATATCATATCATCATATCATAAACACTCACGCCTGTCACCCAGAGGGGTAGGCAGAGACTACAGACTTCCATTTGGCACGATCCTGACACACCTCTCTCGCCTCCTTCACATCCATACACCTACGCATGCATGCTCGTCGGTTAAGGGTACTCTTAATTTGGCCCGTTTTCAATAAATCGCCAAATAATTATAATTGCCGTATTTTATTACGATTACTTACGTGACGAAAGAGTAGCTGAATAAACACGCGCACCTTCCTACACAGCTAACGGGCGACTAGCCCGCGGTCCCGTGGATGCTATAGGGGAAATCGTAGTGGGGGATCGGGAGGCCTTAATTTCCGATCAACAACACCGAAGACGAGCAGCGCGGACACTCGTTTCGAATTTATAACCCACGTGACAGAATTGACGTACTAAAACTTTTGTAGTAAGAGACAAGTTTTTGAGATTTTTTATGCTATTTGTTATAAATTTCAATTAAAAATAAATACTACACATTGGAAGATTATATCTTTTAGGATAAAAAAATAGTTTTCTATATTATGTTGTCATATAATTTTTTTGTAATATTCTGGAAAATGCGCAAGTCGGGGCGATGGGAGACAACTCGAATATGTATGAAATACAACTCTGTCACGCGGAGTTACAACTCCGTAACGTACTCGTAAATGTAACCACAAAAATATAATTGCACACTTTATAAAATATGTTCAACCGCTTATGTCATAAGTACAATGCATGTTGAAATAAAAAAAAATTGAATAGTGAAGGAATTCTCTAAGCTTTTGTTTTGGTCGACTAGTGGAGACGCTTTATTGTAGGTTAAAAAGAAGAACAACCCAACTAACAAAACGAACCCAAACTCGGCACACCTAGTTTTATTAGTCTAGGAGTTCCAATTGTAATCACCGAATTACACCTTCAGGTCACTCCATCAAGTCCGGTGGTAAGGTCTCATCATAACTAACAAAACGAACCCAAACTCGGCACACCTAGTTCTACTAGACTGGGAGTTCCAATTGTAATCACCGAATTATACCTTCAGGTCACTCCATCAAGTCCGGTGGTAAGTTCTCATCATACCTAACAAAATGAACCCAAACTCGGTACACCTAGTTCTACTAGACTGGGAGTTCCAATTGTAATCACCGAATTATACCTTCAGGTCACTCCATCAAGTCCGGTGGTAAGGTCTCGTCAGAACTAACAAAACGAACCCAAACTCGGCACACCTAGTTCTACTAGTCTAGGGTTGTAATCACCGAATTACACCTTCAGATCACTCCATCAAGTCCGGAGGTAGGTAAGGTCTTATTATAACTGACAAAACCAGTCCAAAGTCCACAGCTAACATCTCACTACCAGTAGACAGCTTCCAGTGCCAAGCAGTCTCTGGAGCAGATATTCGTATTTCGTATCTAAGTATATTTCTGAGGTAAGTATAATAAATGTAACACAAATTCAATCTTTCAAATTATCAAAATAATTTCATTTGACTACGATTCCCGCAGCCAACCGTGCGTACACTTGGGTGTGTGACACGTGTCATTGTAGTAGTTCGATTCTTTTCCTATCAATTTTGTAAACGCGTCCTCAAGTTCCATTGCGCTACGCAGAAAGAATAAATTTCTCGTATAATTCGTTGAAGAAAGAGGTATATATAGCAAGGGTCGCTGTCTAAATCTCATTAAATCGGTCCGAATCATTATGTGTGTAAATAGCTCAGAAGAATCAATAGATCCATTTACAATATTAACTAAGAAACAAATATCATTCATCGGTCCAATTATTCCATTGACAGAAACAGCTGCCCAAACAGTTACTTTTGGGCTATGCAATGCTTGTTGGTGTTTTAATCGCGGGTTTTGTCCTCTTGGCGCCCAGTAGCGGCAGTTTTGTTTATTGACAAAACCATTCAAGTAAAAATGAGCTTCATCACTAAACCAAATTGTGTTAACAGTACGGAATCGGCTCAACATGTTATCACAGAACTCTTTGCGTTCTCTGTAGTCATTTGGTTTAAGTGCCTGTACCAATTGGATCTTGAAGGGGTGAAATTTAATGACGAAGCTTAAAATACGGTGCACCGTGGTTTTTGGAAGCCGTAAACTTGACGCTCTCTTGCGCACGGACTGGCGGGGATTTTCTTGCACGCTGTTTGCAACGCGTTCAATGTTTTGTGCAGTCCTCGACGTTCGGCTAGAACCTGGGCGTGGCTCGTTAACTGTTGAACCTGTTGCACGGAACTTCTGGACCCACGTCAAAATCAAACTTTCACTCGGTTCTTCACTTAAGCGACGAATATTGTAGTGAGAACAAAATCTCCGGCGAGCAACAGTGCACGATTTGTTAGCTTCAAAATACGCTTCAACTGCGAAAGCGCGGTGCGCGCCAGTCCACTGCAACATCGTGACTGACCAATCCGCACAAATGCCGCGCCAAACTGTCACCCCTCCCCGGTCTCCCGCGCAACCGTTGCAAAAATATTCGAATTTCAAATCCTAAATCTGCCACGGGACACCCTGTATACTAAAAAATGCAAACTAAAAAAATAACGTAAGAATTTTCAAATCAATTATCAATTTCATTATTTAAACATATAAATGTACATTATTTATATCATTTATTTTGTTAGTAACTGGAGGTAAAAATACAAAAAGTAGTAACACTTTTTGTATTTTACGTTAGATGACACTGTGGCTTAGTTCAAATTATTAGATAACGATTAAAACTAAGTTTAGGCATTATTTATAATTTTTTTTTTATTTAAAAATCACATCAATGATCTAAAAGTAGAATTTAACATTAAAGGAAGGAAAATCCTAACTCTCCTTTTTTGAAAATATTAAAAAGACAGACACGACTTTTTAAAAGATATATTTAATATCACACATTGTCCACATTTTCACATGCTTAACTATGTTAACTTATTTAGAGTCGATCAGTTAGCAGCAACACCTCATCATATACTCGTAGTCGTGACAAAGGCCATGCATGTTGAGTGGACACTGCAGGAACTCCGGACACAGCACCGGTAGCTTATCTAAGAGAGATAAACGATATATTTTTATAATGAGTAAACAAGTCAGTATAACAAGGTACTTAAGTAACCGAATCCATTGCCTCCCATTTTTCCCCGGTAAAGTTAAATGCGAAATATTGATGATTGCTGATGGTAACTATCATTATAATAGTGATATGATGTAGTTTTTTTTCTTAGATTATATAATATTTTAACAACTTCAAATTTGACGACCGCATGGCTTAGTAACAGCACACCTGTCTACTAAATTTCTGATCCTGGATTCGAAGTATATAGCTTTCTTAGTCCGAATGGATATTTTTAACTGATGCTGTGTTTTGCATCCGATTTTATCTTTTATTGCTACGGCCACACTACCGTGATATGGCAATAACTTTGGCCATAATTGAAACAACACCTACACCTAAGTGTTGTTTCAACCAGCCACGAAGTTTGGCCATCATTTTACAAATTCAATAATTATGGCACATAACGGTAGGCCATAGCTCCGGTGGCGGTCTTTTTTACATATCAAAGACGATTACCGCGGTAAATTTTGCGCCAAGGCGCCACACTACAGTTTGTCCTAAGCATGGGCGTTTTCAGGTTTTTCCTGCAACGGTTACATATCCGATATTGACTTTTCATATCGTTATTGAAAATCGTTTTCAGATTACGATATAAGTGGTAATGGCTTGCTACATAATATTGATACTTCATGCGCAAACGAAAACCGAAATATAACCGCAAACTCCAAAACCAGTGCAAAACATTTATTTTACGAACTACTTAGACAATTAAAGGTTGTTTATCTATTAATGATTATTAAAGTTGACTATTATTTTTCATACTTAACTAGGTATAGGATTAGCAGAAAACTTTCTGAGTTAGAACCTAAGTTCACGTTAATAGATTTATAGGACAACGTTTATTGATAATATTTACAAACAGCAAGGTACACGAAATTGACTTTTTTTAATCAAAGTGAGACCATATTTCACTAAACTTACGCAACATTTTGAAAGTCTTTTTACAAAAATGATTTAGAGAGTCTAAATCAACTTAAACCACACTATACTATATTATTGTCATAGTACACATAAATATCTGAATTAAAACCAATGTAAAAAAGCACAAAAATATTAAATGATTATACCGAGTGCTTCAAAAAAATGTATACACACTTTAAACTATTGTAGTTTTTCCGCTCTACAAGGCTAATGTTATATTTCTTCGCCAGGTGTCAGTATAATAGTCCCTCTATGTTATATTATCTTTTGGAATTTGTAATATCAACATGGGGGACGTACGTTTGAGTTTTGAAGAACGTAAGCAGGTTATTAAGTGGTACTGGAAGTTTGAGAATGTAAATGAAGTTCAAAGACAGTGGAGAAGGGAGTATGATACAGAACCACCTTCAAGATTAACAATTACACGCATACGAGACAGATTCGAAGTTCATGGAACAGTGTGTGATGTGCATAAAGGTCATTCAGGTCGGCCTCGAACAGGACTCATTGGACCTTTTCGATTTGAAGGCATTGTAACTGGTATTAATTACCTAACAATGCTTGCTGATTCCATATTTCCTGCCATTCGTGCATTATACGGTAATGATGATTTTTATTTTCAACAAGATGGTGCTCCGCCGCACTATCACAGGGACGTACGAGCTTAC